CCAATCGGATGGAGAGTAATCTCTCGATGGGGCATTCATTGTCCATAACACCATGACGCATTTTAATAATTCAAATGTCAAAATTGAAACAGTCAATTTTTTGAAATATTGGAATGGAACACATAAGAGCAAAAAGTAAAGGGAAGACTGAGAGAAATCTCTCCACAGGGCATTCATTGACCATAACATCGTGATGTATTTTAATCCAAATTATCATCTTTTTATTATAGGAAATATACTTTTCTGTGCAAAATCTCTTATAAGTCAAGTTTTAAAATAACGGTATAACACCTAAAACTAAAGAAGTTAAATCTAAACAAATAAGTAAAAATAGTTCTACATAACACTCGCACACAACCGTGATTCAAAGAGTTGAGTCCTCCACCAAGATAACATATTGAAAATTTTCATAGATTGTAATTTTGTTTAGAATTTTTGCATTGGAAATTGCTTGACTCCGAATACCAGAGCTACATTTAGGTACATTCAATCATGAAAATCATTTGTCATTCAAAATTATGTAGTGTTCAGCCATTCTAAGGTTTTCACTGACTTGCAACTTTGTTAGTTTCACTCTGTTCAAACTGAAACTTATAAAAATGCTCATTTTTACTATTCACTTTTGAATCAGACATAGTCGTCTACATTACAGTTTTGATCCGTCTCAACAGCCAAGGTCTAAACCCACAATGTGGGATGAGTGATCAAACCTTTGCGCTCAGAAGGCCCAATATTTTGTCGCCTTTAAGGGATAGTTTATAACTAGGGTTCTTCATAGGGCCTGAGTTCTTCTTCTTGTACGGTTGGGTTAATCAAAATCACAATGAAGATATCAAGAAACAGAAGGATACTGTATGCATTGTTTGTTTGTGTTTTTTTTTTCTTTTTGTTTTTGGGTCAAATGTTTACATTATTTTGTAAAACAACATATTACAACAGAAAAAGCCCAAAAACAATATACACACAAACAAAAACATGGACCTCCATAGTAAGAGTTTTGAGGTCGAAAGAGAAAGAACACCAAAGCAAACCCTAGCAGTTTCCAACCGCTGACAGCGCCAACCCGCTTGCGGGACGAAGAACCCATGCAAACAAATGAAATCAAACTAACCAGAGCCCCAAAGTTGGATGAAAACTGAGCCATAGGACCCTAAAACAGAGCCCTAAACTCCTCCACCAAGCACCACAACGGTAGCTGCCACAAATCGAAAGAAGCTAGCGGGAAGAAGAAACCCACTAGCAACAATTCCAACAAAGGCAAAACAAAGGAAGGAGGTGGTGTGAACACCCAAGCCGAAGCGCTACACACCTTCCAGGATAAGCGCGGTGAAAAAAAGTGGTAGCCGATCCAGATTGCGGAAACGATGAAGGAGAAGGCCGATCCGGATTGGGGAACAAGGGGGCAAATGGGGAAAAGCTGGAAAGAAAAAGGGGGAAAAGGTGGGAAAGGTGGAAGGAAGATGAAAGGAAACAAGGGGGAAAAGTGGAAGGAAGGGAGAAACGGGAAGAAATGAGATAAGGGGGTTGTGGTCAAAGAAAGCAGATGCGAGGGGGGTTGGGGGAAAATGGCAGACAGGCCACTATACAGGGAAAAACGGAAGCTAAAGGAGAAGGAGAAAGAAAGAAAAGGAGAAAAGAGAAGAGAAAGGAGAAGAGAAAGACGGCCGCCGACCCTGACCATAGGTAGGGTCGTTGGCTGCAAACAGAATGAAGCAGAGGACACTCACACATCAGTGAGAAAAGCTCTCACAAGGAGAGAAAAACCAAAATCTTTGGAATTGCCGCAAGGAATCTCAACCACACAACTTTGGATCGTATGCATTGTTTCCTTTCTGCACGCAGTGTATGATAATTGTTCCAGTGAAGTTTTTTTTCTTGAATGATTGGTAGCAATACTTTCTTCATCCGCAATTTCTTGTGTAATTGAAGAGCTCTCGAGAAATGTGGGTTCATCTTCAAAACCAATTTTTCTTACCGCTTACAAAAACTAGTATCAAGTTAAAGAACAAAAAATGCAATGGTGAATAGTGATATTTTTTTTAATGAAAATTAATGAAAAAAACTTGAAAATTTTGAGTTTTAACGATGATGATAAAATAAAGGATAAAATAAAAACTACCATGATTGACTTTTTAGTGTAAAAATGTGGTTTTTCGTTAAAGTAAATAGTACCGGAAGCTTTTCTTTAAGGTTTCCTTTGTTTTAATGTTTAATTTATTTTTTTTATATTTCTTCTACATAATTATAAAGATTTTCTTTATTGTTTAAATATTTAGTTATAAGGGTAAATTTGTCAATTTATTAGTAAAATTTTAACTTAAGAATTATGTGAAAGTGAATTAAAACTTGAGGAGATGTAAATGTAATGTTTCAAACGTGATAAGATGTTAAGTGTAATTAACCCAGATTTGAAGTCTTGCTTTTGGGTTGCACCGTTGTTGAGAAAGATTAAAGTAAACTTTTTAAAAATTTATAAGTGAAGGTTTAATTTTAAGGTTGTTTATCAGATGTTAAAGATAATTAATTTTATGTCATATCAATATAATAAAATATTAGATTTAGTTGGACGTAACCAGACCTGGAAGTTGGAATTTGGAAAGGATTGACCAATAAGAGCACGACTGTAAATGAATGAGGTATGAGAACAAAAGATCATGATGGACCAAGGGCCAGGCCTATAGGAGGAGGGTTTCATGATGGACCAAGGGCCAGGCCAGTCCTTGTCTCTTCGTCCCTCCGCCACTGTAGACAATCTTTTTGTCTCTCCTTCATTCTTCCCTCCTTATATAATATATAAAACAACATCTCTCTAACCATTCTCACTCTCTCCCCATCTCTTGTGCAGAATAAAAATGAAGTGTGCTGTTAATACTTCTTTTGATCAATTCTTAAAGCCTATTCTCCCTGCAGTTATTGCGAAGACAATCGAACTACTCAAACTTCTTGTAATTAGTCCGGATGATCTCGATCGCAATCGCAAACAAGACTTAGAAGCTGCAGTGCAACAGGTTGCAGACAAGAGGACTAACTATAAGTATCACAAAAACAACTTAGATTGGCCAAAGATAATCATCACGTTTTGCTTGACAGCGGCTATTGGATTAGCGCTTCTCTTTGTCCAAATTCTCTCGGGCCAGCTCCCTATAATCTTTTACTTTCTTGGACTATTAGTCTTGCTTGCCTTCACTTGTATCTTGGTAAGCAAGTTTGTTCACTTCAGCTACTGTCCCGCCAGAATATCAATTGCCCAGCTTTTCCATAATTTTGGCCTATTCTTTGGAGTCACAGCCTTCTTCATATCCATCACCATCTCATTCCTTTTGTGGTTCAAATGTGCAACCTATTTTATCTACGTTGCCCTCCTCCTCATAACACTTTGTAATATTCACTGCAATAAATATTACAAACCTAATAGTTATATAAGTACCCAAACCTAAGGATTTCTGAAACCGCCATTGATCCTGCAGCTGAACCATGCTGAGGCGGTCCTAGTACTATTGATGATCAAGCATGTACCGATGGTATTATGTGACACAAAAGAACTCTCATATACATATCCTGACTAGCTAGCCGTGTTCCTCCGAACGGGGATCTCATATTTGTCTGCAACCTCACTAATGCTGCGTTTCATCTAATTCGTTACTTCTATTTCTTTTAGTGAAAGTACATGTGTTTTAATAATCCAACTGCCAAAATTGAAACTGTCAATTTTCTGAAATATTGGTACAGAACACATAAGAGCAAAAAGTAAAGGGAAGACGGAGAGTAATCTCTCCACAGGGCATTTATTGTCCATAACATTGTGCGTATTTTAACCAAATTATCATCTTTCTATTATACAAAATGCACTTTTCTGTGCAAAATCTCTTAAAAGTTAAGTTAAAAATAGCGATATAAAATCCAAAACTAAAGAGTTTAAATCTAATTGTATTTCACTTAGTACTACATTCTAGTGATATTCTTCTTCACTTGTAAGTGAAAGGTTTTAGGTTTAATTCTCGTCAAAGGCGAATTTGAACCACATTATTGCTGATCCGTTGTGAGGCTAAGCACATCCCCTCCCCCTTAGTTTAGATAATATCGTTTGTTAAATAAATAAATAAAAAATATAAATAAGTTCAAATAGTTCTACATAACACTTGTCTCTAACCGTGGTTCAAAGGGTTGGGCCTTTCACCAAGATAACAGATTGAAATTTCTCATGGATTGTAATTTTGTTTAGAATTTTTGCATTAGAAACTGCTTGGCTCCGAATACGCGAGCTACATTTAGGTACATTCAATCATGAAATCAAGTGTCTTTCAAAATTAAATAGTGTTCAGCCATTGTAAGGTTTTCATTGACTTGCAACTCTATTAGTTTCACTCTCTTCAAACTGAACTTATAAAAAAGCTCATTTTCACTAATCACTTTTGAATTAGACATAGTCCTCTACATCACAGTTTTGATCTGTTTCAAGAACCAAGGTCTAACCCACAATTTTATTTCGATCCTATTGCCAGCGTGCATGGATAGTTTTGCTTTAGTTGATCATATCCAATGCTCTTTTCGCTTGGAAAATCCTCTATTACCGACGTATAGCGACTTTCCAAGTAATGGGGTATTGCCTATCCACTACAAAAGGTAATGCATAAATCCTGAAATTCAACGTGGCTCCAATTCTCCTCTATGTTTGTCGGAATACAATAACGTGATTTCGCAAGAACCGTTGAATCAACTCGACATTCTATTATACAACAAAAAAAAATTTCGTAGGGTAATTTGGATCCTAGCTTAGTTGTAATGATAGAACACTTTCAACACCAAAAATAAATGCTTTCAACCTTTTGTTTTTTGACAAACACATTGTAAAATATCTTAATTAACATAGACAGAGATTCAAACTTATGCACAAAAAGATGAGACAGACACACCACTTTAGCCAAAATTCCTATCTCATTCTCACCTACTATTATCTCCCCGCAACAAAACACCCCCCAAAGTCCCAATGTTCCAAAACCAAAACGTCACCTCAAAATTCAAATCCCACTTTCCCAAATTTCCGTTTTCCCGCCCACACGCCCCTGCACTTCCCACTCCTTGAAAGTTCTCGCCCCACATCTGAACAGAATCCCAATCACTCACGCACTCACAAAAAAGCCCTGTCGCGCTCTCTCTCTCTGTCCACCCCTCCCTTTCTCTAAGTTCCACCGTCTTCTCCGGCCATTCAGCCTCTCTCCGCTATCTCTTTGTGCCGTACGCAGGATGGCTTCCAAGCGGAAGGCGAAGGTCGGAACCTCTTCAGGTTCTCCCCCGGAATCGAAGAAGCCGAGGCAAACCAAGGAGGCTAGAGTTGAAGAGGAGGTAGCAACGAGTGTGGAAAAAGCTGCTTCTCCGCCGAGGAACCCAGTGACTCAGGAGGTAGCTGCGGCTGATGACGACGGAGAGGAAGCAAGGTTTGTTGGCGAACCGATGGAAGACGAGGAGGCTCGTAAGCAATACCCCAAGAGATATGTTGGAAAGGTGAGAGATTTTGTTTCAAGTTTTGATTTTTTTTTTTTGTAGAATTTAGCTTGGATTTGGTGAAAATGTTGGAGATTTAGGGTTTATAGATGATCAAGTAATATGACGCTTTGGTAAGAATTTTTGGTGAACATGTTATTGAAGCTTTGGGAAGAATTTTTGGGTTTAAAGCTTTCAACTTGATTTTACAGTTCTTTATTGGATTTGCTTATTGTTAAAGTTGCTGAATTTTCAAAGTGTCTTTTGGCTTTGTTGGAAACATTGGATAAATCTGGTGGTTGTGGTGGCATGGCGGGTGTGGTGAAACCCTCCCTCCCGCCTGCCTGCCTCCCCTCCCAGTAACTTTATTTGAAGCTGCATAAAGTCTTTACCTTGTAGGTAGAATTATGCATTGCTAGTTATCAGTTGTGAGTCTTTTATGTTATTCTTTGGGTTGTGAAAAGAATTGAAGAAATATTATGAAAGGAAAATTACAATCCTTGGATACTTATATTATGCATAGTTATGATCAGTGGTAATAGGAAAATTTGAGAAGCAAACTGATACATTAGGTTAGTTATGACCAAAAGAAGAGAAGGTGATTCATCTGCCACTGTATTTGCTTCACGAAATACACGCTGAAGATATTAAACTTGAGTATCAAGTATCAACCATTGGGTATTAGCTTGATATATGCTGGTGGAATGCTTTACGATATTGTGCTCTTATTTAATTTTGACTGTGAGCCTTGCATTGGTGCAGAAGCCAAAGATGAATGGGCAAAACAACTCCAACGAGTAAGTTTTAGTTTCTGTATATTTTATCTTTGGCGTACTCCAAGTAGTCCTTTTGTGTTTTAACAGGTTGGTTACTGTTTGATTGTTTTTTGATTGTGTACCTTTGGTTTTTTATGTTCAATATAATCCAAAACAGTGATGAAGATATAATTCAAGCTCATTGTCACTACACAAAGGCGTTGGTAGATGGAATCAATTATGACCTGTATGATGATGCCCATGTATTTGTGAGTTTGCATGACTCGTTGTTTGTTGATATTCATTTATGAAGTATTTATAGAAACACTCACAAGTGAGAAGTAAGATTAGAGTAATTGGTCTGCTCCATTATCTGATTTTATAATCGTAACTGTTTCCCTATTGTAACTCTACAAAAGTTAGCAAAATTCATGTGCACATAATGTTTTTGAATACTATTGTTTTGTTTCCATATTATGTGATTTGACAATGTTTTCCATTCATTTTTATGTTTAGTCAGGGGAGAAAGAAGAGCCATACATTTGTAAGATTGTGGAAATGTTTGAGGCAATTGGTGGGCTATTGTATTTTACTGCACAGTGGTACTATAGATCACGAGACACTGTAAGATATCTAAAAAGAAACCAATTCATGATTCTCCTTCGAAATACTTTGTTTCATGATTTCCTTACATTGAACAGCAAGGATTCAGTTATTGGGCGCTGAATTATTATTTTTTTGTAGGTCATAAAGCACTGTGCTACTGTTGCTTGTGGGCGTGTATTCTTTTCAGATGTCCGAGACGATAATCCTCTGAATTGTCTTCTTGAAAAACTTCATATTGTTAGACTGACACTAAATGTATGCTTGAAGTTTCCGTGTTCATGCTTTTTTTTTTGGTTCGTTAAGTCCAGCATGAGGTGAGTTATCTTTTTTTTTTCTCTCTAGGTTGATGAAGATTTGAAGAGTAAATCAATTCCAGTGTGCAATTACTATTGTGACACCAAGTATCTGCTACCGTATTCTACTTTTGTCAATCTGCCAGCAGGTTATTGTTCTCTTTCTACTTATTGTTGTGATACTGGTTTTTGCTTTTGTTCATTTGGAAGGCTCCAATGTGTTCACATGTTATTTCTTATTTTGAAATTTCAGAAAATATGCAGACTGGAAGTGATGACTCAACTATCTCTGTTGAGGATGATGTTTTTTTGGATAGCGAGGTTGATTCAAAGCTGCCAAATGGAGAGCGTGCCAAATCAGAGGTACGGCTCTTAGATCTGTATTCTGGTTGCGGAGCGATGTCTACTGGCCTGTGCCTTGGTGCACATTTGGCCAATGTCAATCTTGTTACAGTAAGTCCCTATTTCTTAATTCAATTTTAGTTATTTTTTTCACATCAGTTGAATGTATGTCAAGGCAAAGCTTGATATTGTTTTCTTGTCAATGTCTTTTAGAGATGGGCTGTTGACTACAATAAGTACGCTTGTAAGAGTTTGGCACAAAACCATCCAGAGACAGAGGTTTGTGTTTGTATTTTTCCCGTTTTCCTCACATTCGATGTGATGCTTTAATTTTTTTTTTTTTTTTGTTTGCATAATTCATTGCCTAACTCACACATTAGGTTCGAAATGAAGCTGCTGAAGATTTTCTCACAATGCTCAAGGCATGGAGAAAACTATGCATGTGTTTAAAGTTGGTTGAGAATGACAATTTAGAGGAGGATGTAGATAAGAGTATACTTGAATTCTTTGGAAAGGAAGATGATGAAGAGGAAGAAGAAGATGAAGAAGAAGATGAAGAAGAAGAGGAAGATGTTAGTGGAAATGTCAAGAATGATTCTGAAGTTTTTGAAGTTGATTGCGTGGTAGGAGTATGTTTTGGTGACCCCAAAAAAACAGAAAAGAAGGGAATATACTTTAAGGTATCAACTTCGAAATTTATAAATGCATGTTCTGTAAATATTTATAGCGATATATAGTATGCGAGTGTGTGTTATTGCAAATCTAAATTCATTAGTTCCTTATGCAAAATTTGCTTGACTTGTGATGTATTTAGATTCATTGGAAGGGCTACGGGCCTGAGGAAGACACCTGGGAGCCAATGAATGAATTGGAGTATGCAACTGTTATTTATGCTTGCAGGATTATCAGATGCATGTTTTAAATCATTTATGTACTGTTATGTTTTAAACTAAAGCTCATGTTTTTCTGTCAAACAGGCATTGTAAGCAGGCTATCAAAGACTTTATTACTGAAGGTTACAGATTGAAAAAATTGCCTTTACCAGTAAGTAAATGATTTTTTCACTGAAACCTTGAATTGGAATTCGTAGATGCTTGAGTACAGATTATTGTCATCAATGTTTCATTTAACATTGTTTTGGACATTTTCTGATATCCTGCATAGGGTGATGTTGATGTGGTGTGTGGGGGACCCCCTTGCCAGGGTGTTAGTGGTTTCAACAGATTTAGGAACACAGAAAGTCCATTAGCAGATGACAAAAACCAACAGTTAGAGGTGTACATGGACATAGTTCGGTACCTAAAGCCAAAATTTGTTTTGATGGAAAATGTAGTCGATATTTTAAAATTTGCCGATGGATTCCTTGGACGATATGCCTTGGGACGCCTTGTAGATATGAACTATCAAGTGAGGATGGGAATGATGGCAGCAGGTGCATATGGGCTTCCGCAGTTCCGTATGCGAGTTTTTTTGTGGGGGGCGCGTCCTACTGAGGTAGTAATGGATAAATTATCAAGTTTTACTATGGTGCAGGTTTAATCTCATAGGCTAATTGTTTTGAGTTTTGCAGATCTTGCCCCAGTACCCACTTCCTACGCATGACGTTGTTTCAAGGGGTGTTACTCCTACACAGTTTGAGGTACGAGTTCAAGTGCTTGTGCTTTGACTTTTCTATGGTTTTGCAGTAAAACAACGTGTGAAAAATGCAGGGTAATGCTGTTGCTTATGATGAGGGTCATCAGACCCAATTAGGAAAAAGTCTTTTTCTGGATGATGCGATTTCCGATCTGCCTGCTGTAATGTCTTCTAAAATTTTCTTTTTTTGGTGTTATGTTTTTTTTTTTTTTTTTTCTTTTACATTGCTTCTTATTTCTATCTATCTTTGGACATAGGTTGCAAATAATGAAGAAAGAGATGAGATGCGTTATGGGGTGGCACCCAAGACAGAGTTTCAGAGGCTTATAAGACTAAGCAAAGAATGTAAGATGCTCCATTTCTTTTCAAATTTTGATATATGATTTTTTGGAGCTGTCATATTTTACAAAAGTTGATTTACATTCTGTTCGATACAGACCTAATGGGGACTTCAAAGGACAACTCTATACAAAACGTTCTTTATGATCACCGCCCTCTGCAGTTGAATGCCGATGATTATGCACGTGTTTGTGAAGTTCCCAAGAGAAAGGTCCGTTCTTAATCATTGAATGCATGGTCACATTGCTTTGTCATTTATACAGTTCCTTGACAGAATCATACGCTCTTCATGACAATTTATATGTTTCCTTTTGTTTCTTGGGAACTAGGGTGCATGCTTCAGAGATCTTCCAGGTGTTCGTGTGCGTGGTGATAACAAGGTTGAGTGGGATCCAGAAGTAGCCAGGGTGTATTTGGCTTCTGGCAAACCGTTGGTAAAAATTTATCTGTTTTCTACTGGTTTAGTTTTCTTGCAACTTTGTGTGATTCTAATTACATTTTAATGGTAGATCCCAGATTATGCTATGAGTTTCGTGAATGGGTCTTCATCGAAGTAAGAATTCGAGTTTTGTTCAAACTTTTACACTTATTATTGTGTGGTTCGGTTGCTTAATATGATTTTTGAATGAAATTATGCAGACCTTTTGCCCGTTTGTGGTGGGATGAAACTGTGCCAACAGTGGTCACAAGAGCTGAACCTCATAACCAAGTATACTCTCATGTAATTTGACAATTATTTTCAGACATGAAAAGACGATCATCTGCTCACAATCTCTTGTATTTCTTTTTAGGCTATTATGCATCCCGAGCAAGATAGGGTGCTTACAATTCGTGAGAATGCGAGGCTACAAGGCTTTCCGGATTTTTACAAGCTCAGCGGGCCTATAAAAGAAAGGTATCCTATTTTAAACCGTCTTTTATCCATGTTCTTTGGTCAATGAGGCCAAAGGAGTTAGAGTTTGAGACATTGCTCGATTAACAGCTAGTTATTAATTCAATCCAGAGGGGTGGTAGGTATTTACATTTGGAATCGTTTCAGGTACATGCAGGTTGGAAATGCTGTTGCTGTTCCTGTTGCGCGTGCACTGGGCTATGCATTAGGTCTTGCTCTTAAAGGTTCTGCTGGTGCTGATCCCCTGTTCATACTGCCTGCAAATTTCCCTAGCCTTCAAGATCAGGTTCATTCGGCATCATCTGAAGAGGAGAATTGAGTCACTGTTGTTACAGTAGGATTTATTCATCTTTGTTGCAACTCTACATTGGAGAACAATATTACTTTGGAGTTATTTCCTCGGATGAACAATGTCCTTGGATTACTCGGGAATGAAAATTTCAAACCTTCGAGTTTACTTGTTTTCTTCAATTTAAGATTTGAAAGCTTTCTGCAATCTTAAATCTTCTGCATTTTGGCTTTGAGTAACACTTTGTTCCGACGTTCGCTATGGCTTGTTTAGAAGTGCTTTTTGAATAACTGAAAGCGTTTTTAGATTACCAAAAGTTAAATTGTAATGAGCACTACAATCTGGCAGTCAGAAATGAAACGTAAACAAGAGAATGTTATAAAAGCTTGAATCTTGAACCATCTAATATTCATCGTACAATCATCATTCTCATAAAACATCCATCAATTAATGTTACATCTGAGTTCGAATCCGTTTCTCATAGAATATCGCTTTGTCCGAAGAAACAAGAGTTCAACTCATTTTGGGCGGAGGGTTTGTTGATCTGGCAATTGGGAAGGGAGGCAACCGGAGCACAGCTTCCTCCGTCTCAATCGGGTCGGATCTCAGTATCTGCCAACACCAAAACAACATTCCAAACATTAGAATTGAGAGAGAGAGAGAGAGAGAGAGAGAGAGAGAGGAGAGAGACTGACAGGGTCTTGGAGAACTGGTTTGGTGTCGTCTTTGGCTGGAATGAAGGGAGGCTTTGTGGACTTGTCTTTGTTGTTGCCGGATTTCCTTGAGGTTTCAGAGTCCGACCCCTTCATTGTTTCTTCTCTCTCTCGCCGAAATTTTACTTCTCCGCCGAATACGACGACGGCGCCTTTTTAGTTGGTGAATGGCGGAGTTCTGAGAAAAACTATGGGCCTTTTAGACACCGGAACCGAGAGCCCATATACAACCCGAACGACATGACAGAGGATTTTGGATAACAAGTGGTCCATAATCCAAATTTCTTGTCTTTTTAACTGTTGCTTGGCTCCTTTGTATGATTGGAGTCAGTGGTTGCAAATTACAGTATGACACAATATATAAAATAATTAGGCTTGATTTTTTTTTTTGGGTAATGGAGAGACCAATATTTTAAACCAAAATTTGAAAACCCAATGATTTGGTTATGGATAATTGGATTATTAAGTGCTGATTAACGTGTTTATTTTATATTGGCGACACATCATCTGCTTTGCAATATTGTTTAAAAATTTGGTCTACCTAACATTACCCTTTCTTATAACAACCTGAATAAGATTTGTCTGGTTTGACCAACCAATAAAATGACTCCGTGGTCAATTATTTGTAAAGTGGACTTTCATTGACAGTCAAATATATTGAACAAATTGACCATGTGAGTAATAAATATATAGACAAATCGACAGTGTGAGTAGTAAATAGCATATTCAATAAACTGTTCATTTATTTAATACATTTGGATAACTTAACAATTTTAAATTTAGATGATTTTTTGTTTTATAATCGGTTCTCGAATGTAGAGTTTGTATGTATGGTGAAGATTTGGTTCCAAATTTCTGTGTTGCGGTTCCTGCACCGGAAAATCAATGGAAAACGAAGTTTTTAGAAAGTTGGTAGTGTTGGAAACAATTGTTTGTTGAAAGGTACTAGGCATTAAACAATGTAGACACTGATCCGTCCCTCTTCTTTTAGAGACTGTAATTTTGGCCAGTGCTTGCTCAAAGTGAGTTTCTTTGGTCAAAGTAGATTCCTTCATCTACAAAAACTTGCTTACCAAACCTTCCCGGTCGTAAAACATTAGGGTCCATTACATCCTGTCTATCAAAATAGAGGACAAAAACTTCGAAATGCATGCGCAATGATACTTACCATCGAGATGGGATTCTCTCTGGATCTCATTGTCCGGAACCAAGAACCAGCAAATTGGACCACTCAAATTGAAACCCCATTATTAACTCATTATGCTGACCAATATCACACCAACAAAGAGCCCGGATATCTTTTTCTTGAACCGTACAATTTGCTTTGGGAACCAAACAGTGAGGTGCGGGAAAGATCTCGACTCATTACCATGATCATAAAAACGGAAGAATGTACATTGAGCTTTACGACGATAACCATCACACCCTTTCGACGCTCTCTGCCATCTAACTCTACAAGTAACTGCAACTGTTCAGATTATTTTACCTGGTTCAGTACCTGCTGATCATCATCCCTTCCTCCTGCTTTCCCCCCGTTGTTGTCAAAGCATCAACGTGAGGAAACATCCTCAAGCATCAATTTGAGGAAACTTCCTTGACATAATTTCAACCATATGTAGCATCGCACTACCTGCTCTTGTGTGAAAATTATTGTGGGAACCGAAAGTCTTGACAGTGACATTCTTATTTACCGCTTCTAATTTGGGCAATACAACGTTCAATCCTTGATCGCGTGCTTTCACATCAGAGGGTAAAATTCCAATTTAGACTTGGTAAATTTAATTTGCAAATTACCCTTTGTTATAAAATGGAAAATGGGACAGAAGTTACAGAAGTGCGTGTCTCAATTATTTTTCTTGCTGAGCAGTGCACTGTACACACCTTACTCCACCAGCGTAACTGCAAAAAGGCTTTCCACTCTCTGCACACTTCACTATTTGCTTATGGCTTCAGCTTCCAGATCAAGCTCTTGGCTTTTCAGTCTGTCGGAGAATTGGCTCCCAATGGCTACTATAATACTCGTTTGCGGGTTTGTCGGTTATACTGTTTACGATGCAGTGATGGCCACCGTGTCTGAGCTGCTGCAACGTTTGTTGGTAATTTCTCCTTTACTTATAGTCATTGTAGTTCACTGGCTCTCCACAGGCAGCCAAGTTAACATTGGCATTCCGGGGTCGGAGCCCGGAGCCATTCATAGAGCCGGGGGATCGCCTTGGGGTGTGGCCTTTCTACTATTTCTGCTCTTCTTTCTCATATCTTACCAGCCTTCCTTGCATGGCCTTCTTTTCTAGTTTAATTTATGTCTCTCTTTTGGAAGGGCAAGTATGAAAATGTAATGTTCGTTTATCCTCTGAGTGATTTGTGTGGCTATCCTTTTCCAATCGTACTTAATAATGTGTGTGTAAATCTAATTAATTGCTACTATTTCAACTTTGTTCCTTTCTTAAGAATCCTTGAGATCACTTGAGCAGTGCTCAAATCCCCCACGAGTGGTTAAAATTCGGAAGGAAAAAAAGTGCTAAAAGTAACAAATTACTTAAACAAAACTTTTAGAGCTCGTTTGAAAGTGTTTTTAAAATGACTGAAGTATTTTTAGAAAAAATATTTTGAGTTCCAAAAACACTTGAAGTGTTTTTTCAGAATTCATTTGCGTTTTTACTAGGAATTTCACAAACTCTTCAATAATTGAGGTGCATTACCGATGATCCCAAGCCATGGACTATGGAGCATATTGCTAATTTATGTTTAATTTCTGCCTTCTGCCACATTATTTATTTATTAATATCTTCTACCCAACAAAGAACAGTTGAACAAAAAAAATGAAGAAGCAAGAAATGGACATATTGCTGACTTTACTGTGGTTTGATTAATGTGGAAACGAAATTATGCAGAAGTCAATATGAAAGTGTATTATTTTTTAGTTGAGTGTACTACCAGTTCAACGGGGGAGCTAGGACAACCAGGCAATGGATCACTCCCTAACTAGAAACCTAGACAGTTGATTGTCGACTAATTAGTTTCTATAATTAAGTCAAATTTAGGCTGATCCCCCACTAAGAAGTAGAGCCTCTATCTAGACAAAGGTATGGACCTTCCATATATGTAATAAGAAAATCTGAACATCATCATTTTCTGTAAAACATTAAGGACATTAACACGTTTTTGAAATATAGTCACTCAAGGTTGATGAGAAGAACTTGATTACACTTTATAATCAATCGCGCATTGTGATATGAGAAAATTAATACACATTATGATGCATAATTGGCTTGGAATGTAGTTATGGTATCATCAAAGTTATATATATATATCCATGTTTTTCTGTCAATCGAGGTCCCCTTGAGCAGTGTTCGAGCCCTCTCGAGACTCCTCAAGCAATGCTCGAACGAGGAACGTGGTTAATGGTTCAAGCACCCCTTCAAACCCAAATTTGTTTTTGTTTCGAATATTGCGTTTAGACAACCATACATATACATGCTCATGTGCTCTGCCTGCTGCAGTTTTGTGTACAGTTAGATTACAATCTACCTGCCGTCCGTACAGGCCCTGTGGGCGGTGGGCCTCCAGTGCTTCATGGCAAGAGTCACGTGATACTGACGTCTCTGACACGTGATCTAGGAAACTTGTCCATCTCGCTGATTGTGTTACATTGTCTCATACATATATATATATATATATATATATATATCTAATATTGGGAACTGGGAAGTGCTTAATTACCCATACTTGATTCATTAGTCAGTGTTTGAGTCGAGAAAATGAGTTATCAATGTTATAAAACTATGGACGAAATTGTAGAAAGAAATGAGACGAAGAGAGTAGAAAAAGATAAAGTAAAATATTCTCTGATCATATGTTTTTGATATGAAGATCTTATGGTCATCATGGACGATAGTTGGTTTTTTAGGAGAATTTTTTTAGTGTGCTTGAAACAAGAAGCGTTACACTATGTTATTAAACGAGGAACGGAAGTTTGTTTGTTTGTTTGTTTTTTTTTGTTGAAGTGTCACTCAATTTGTATAATGACATATATTCTCATACTCCATACACTGAAAAAACTATCTTCTAACCCTCCGATATTTTCCCAAATATCTAAGCTATAAAGAAATTCGGGTCTGATATAATTCAAACGATGACTTAAGATTTCAGGTCTTACGAAAATAGTGGAGAGATTCAAATGTCCTCAGCTTTCTTTTTTTCGAGAATCAGATGACTTCAACTCATGATTTAAATTGTCTAACTAATTAAAGTTGTACACTTGTAAGAAATTTTTTTCTTTCTAAATGAATGCGATTTCTAGCAGTCTAGCTGTTTGGCAATTTGTACCAACTGTTGGTGATGTTGTAATGTTGGAAATTGATAGCACCAGATGGCACCAATACCGATTCCAGCTATATATGCATCACAGGAAATGAAGCCAAAACACCTAATGACAATTTGATTTGGTTTGCTGTCAGTATAATTAGCTTCCCACGGTCAACACACCCTTTTTCGCTGGTGTAAGGGGTAAGAACAATGTCTATCTATATATGATTATTGAATGAACTAGGCACACTTTATTAACCCCACGTAACTAAGGATAATATTTATTTTCCATCAACAACCACAGCCACGATTAATGGAAGAGGAGATTAATTATGCACCACATATGTATTTAATATTTTTGAGGCGGTGTCTTAGTACAACAGAAAGATTTGTTCTTTTGTGACTGAAAGTTCAAATGTTCGAGTCGTGGAACAACATCTTTGTAAAGTAAAGGTAAGACAACTTATGATAAACATTCCCCCCTTCTCCCTTCTCGACTCTCGCAAAAAAGAAAGCCTTATTAGCTTGGAATCGCCCTTTATATGTATTTAATATTTCTCTTACACAACATACTTAACAGTCACCTTACACATATATAAGTCTAATACATGTGAGAATGAGAATAATAGATACAAATATAGATATAAGAACTAATACTTATAATCAGAAATACTTAAATAATCAAAATATGGAAAAATAATATCAAACTTATGGTAAAATAATAATCAGATGCAATGTTCGTTGAGTCTACGAGTTTCTTTTTCCTTTTCTAAAATGAAATTCTAAGTGATTTGACTATAAAATGGAATTTTTGAGGGATTGTGAAGAGTTACCCCATTACAAACTTAACAATAAAAACATACAACAAATTTTCCTAACAGAGTACATGAGCTATAATGAAAAACTCTTCAATGTGGGATAAATCTTATGAGATGGTTGCAGGATTAAT